AGATAGATAGATAGATAGATAGATAGATAGATAGATAGATAGATAGACAGACAGACAGTGAAAGAGATGGTATTGATAGAAAATGAATAGTAACACTTTTTCTTAATGTAGTTAAGCAAGTGGTTATTATTAATGTGTAAGAAGTATAATTGACATTTGCATAATGATCTTACAACTTTCCAGTTGCTGAACTCATGAGTGAGTTAAGATAGTTTTTAATGAATTCTTTAGGATTTTCTGTGTACCAGATCTTGTCATCTGAAAGTGAAAGAAAACTTGCTTCCTTTGCCATCTGTGTGTTATCATTAATTAATTTACTTTTTCTGTTTCCTCATTAGAACTGCCAGACATATTTAATAAGGTAGTGGGACATATTAAACAATCCTTATCTTGTTTCTGAGCTTAGCAAGTATTCAGTGTTTCCCTATTAAAACTAAGTTTCTGGTTTGTGTATCTATACTTATCTATCTATCCAGCTGTCTATTCTTTATATATATATATATATTTTTTTTTCTTTATTGGATTGAGGAATTTTCTTCTATTACTAGTTTTTGTTTCTTTAGAGATGTTATGACAAATAACTATTAAGTTTTGTCAAGTGCAACTTCTTATCTATTTAAATAATGAGGCAGTTTTATCCTCTATTCTGTTAATATGGCAAATTGATAGCATTTTACTGATAATGTTTATACTAAGCTTTTATTCTCATACTCCTTGCTAAAGGTATGGTATTATTTTTACATATCAGTAGATTTGGTTTGTTACATGTCATGCTGTATTATGTTTATAACATGAATTAATCTACAGTTTTTTTCTTCCATTGATAGAGTTGTTTAAGTCTAATTTTTTATTGAGATGATATTGACTTAAGTCGAGACACAGTCTTCCTCTCCATTCTTTGGGTTTGTGAAAGATTAAAATATATTAAGGAAATAATGATGATGGTCAAAACAATTTAAATGCCAAATAGCCAGATCTCAGATATATGCAGAACTACAATAAAAGTATAGAAATATCAACATTATTAAGACTAAGAAAAGGCAGAGGTAAATATTAACATAATGTATAGAGAAAAATCATTGGAACAGGAAATTAATTCTTGCATAATAAAAAACACTTTTTTATAGTAGGTTGTATTTCAGCAAATAGTGGATATGTTTTTCTAATTATTTATTCCACCAAAAATTAAAAAAAAAATACTAGAGAAAGCTGATTATAGCTAGAAAGTAAATTTTTCCATGGGTGTATGAAGTAAATTATCTCCCACTGTCTCAAGAACTAAAAATGTTTCATTGAGCATGATGTAATCATATGGATGACAATGAAATATATTTAGAAACTATTAGATCACAGCATTTTGAAAATGTGTTTTCACCAATTCCTCCAAAAATAAAGTGCTGCTTGATGGGAGCAGAAATAACTTAAACTTTTAAACGTGCTGGTTAAAAAGAGAGAGAGAGAAAATAAAAGAAAAAAAACTGAACTTTCTTTAACTGAAGAAATAAAGATATCATTTTTCAGGATACATGGCTGCCTTTGGACTGAATTTACTTCAACATAAAACCTGATATTTACCAAAAAAAAATGTAATTGACATGTTTTTCTGAATAATAGAAATCAAGCTAGATGTTTGTCTTCCATTTGCGATCCTCATATGTTTTTCAACTGGTTAAAACTTTCAATTTAGAGAATGATCTTTGTTATTTTAATTTTATTTCTAAAAGAATAAAAATAATGACTGAAGCTACCACCAATTCAGTAGATAGCACAGTGAAGATGCGAACACTTTCTTAATTGATGGAATGAATGTGTGAAGAAGCAGATGCAGAAAAACTGATGAACATGTCAATATGTCATGATGCATGAATTTGCTAGTCCTGGCTTTTTTGATTTGTGTTCATGCTCCCTGGAGTTTTCAGGCTCACCTTCCCGTGAGAAACTTACCTGGAGGTGAAGAGCCTGTAGACTTTCTGGAAGAGGCAGAGGGATGTGGTCCAAGCTGTTATCCGTGATATAGAGATGGTGGAGATCATACATATCCTGTGAAATTCCACATGGAAGACACTGTTCATGCAGTAATTTGTAAACTAGCCTGTCCCTGTCAAAACCCTCTTTTCTAAGTTACTAGACAATTCAATTTAAATTTGGAAAATTTGACTGTATGCATATTTACTTGTTGCATTCAAGATAGTTTCTCAGTATATATAAGGTAGCTGTTGTCCATTGAATATGTTTTGAAATTAGAACCTGGGGTGTGTGTGTATGTATATAGATAGATAGATAGATAGATAGATAGATAGATAGATAGATAGATAGATA